CTCCTGCAAACGGACTACAATTTGTAACGCTTATAAGACTTGGACATTAAGGAGGGACGTTGTCCAGCCCTACTAAGCAGATTAAGCAACGACTTAAGTATAAAATCATTAATAATTGCGAGGCATTTGGATCTGAGAAGCTTAGTTACCGAAGGCTTAAGACGAAACATAATTATTAACGAGATATTAACAATTAATTTGTATAAAGCTAAAGCTAAAGTTTCATGGCATTATTTATTCAATCGATGAGAGAAATTTTGGTGCGAAGTTTCTAACAACATTGGGAAATTACAAATTGATTTATAATTCTTGGGTAAGCTTCTAAGAATGCTTTATAGATACATATGAAATAGAATATTTAAATATAATAATAATCCTAAGTGAAAAATGGCAGTCCGCTGAGAAAGTTTTGAGAAAGTATAAACTAATGTTGAAATTACACCGTGATACATGTTGCATATCAATTTTACGAGTTAGATTCAATCTTTAAGGGATGTTTTATTCCTAAACACTATAAAAACATTTTCAAGTATTTCCAAAAAGATTGCTACAAATTGGTTGCAAAGTCTTATACACAAAGTAAATAACACTTACACACACAATAATTAAATTCTTTTTAATTGAGTAAAAATCCCTCCATGTAATAAAATTCTTAGTTCAAATTTTGAATTAACTTAATTTAAATTTCAGTTTTAACACTGCATGTTTCAAAAATATTAAAGATACTTATAACACAAATCAACAAGGTGAAACAAAACTTTTGACACTAGAAAAATAGGTAATAAAATAATGAAGTAATTAACAAAAGGTTATAATTATCTACTTATTCTAATGACGACAGAACACGACATAACTTTCTAATAAAATTGATGACAATAAAAGTCATCATATTTTATATTCATATTTTATAGAGACAAACATACAGCTCGACTAGACGATTCGCCATGATAATTTAATCTGTCAACTACAATATTAATAATTCACATCGTTTGTTTAACGACATTTAAACGTCATTGGGGTGCTGGTGACAAAAGCACGGTACAGTTTCGCGGTGAACAGGTTTCACGAACCGTTATTCGACACGTCGATTTGACAAAGCCGTGTTATTACATATCGACATCAGAACATAATTCAGCAGACGTCGAGAGTTTCACAAAACGAACATTTCTAATGTGACCACTCATAAAGTTGACAGTTGCTGCAGTTCATACATAATTCAATACAGATTTGCAGACTATTTTCGAATCTGATTATTGTAATGCAAATTGTTATACAGCTGATTATGATAATATAATTTGTTAAACAGGAAATGAACACAAACCTTTGTTCTAAAATAAATCTATTTTACGAGTTTTATCGATTTTGTTTTTAATTCATTTCCTTACGATAGTTAATATCATCGATGGTTCGTCACGTGGATCATGAATATAGTAAACTGTTCGATGAACAACAACAACAAAAAAACCAGCCAAGTGCGAGTCGGACTCGCGGACGAAGGGCTCCGTACCATTATGTATAAGAACAACAAAAAAAATCATGTGTATTGTACGGGAGCCCTACTTAAATACTTTTGTTATTCTGTTGTTTAGTATTTGTCGGTATAGCGGCAACAGAAATACATCACCTGTCCAATAACTATCACGGTTCATGAGAGCCTGGTGACAGATGGACAGACAGACAGACAAACAAACAGGGGAGTCTTAGTAATAAGGGCCCGTTTTACCCATTGCGTACGGAACCCTAAAAAGCACGCATTTTGCACAATCAAGTTATTTTCCGTTAGCGGGCCTAACGGCATGCGGTTGTTAGCGCGTTATTAGCTTTCCAGTGTCTCTCGGAGCCCTTGTTAATTCTCTACTTTGTTTCTAATGACACACATCCAAAGTAACTATTCTCCAGTAATGCTTTATGTTACAACACAGATAGCATACACACAATGTCGGAAGGCTATAAGCAATCTGTACTGTACCATCTGAATCCACAAACCATAAATATCGGCTCGCCTCAAAAATAATACCGTTCTCCTTTATCTTAATAACAAATCTAGTGTATAGATAGATTTTCTCACAGTACCATTATTAATGGCGTCCGTATTCAATTAATCGGAATTTATCTCGGCTACAACTGGAGTGCTCGTGAGGGCAGCCGCTTAATAGGGGGGTTACAATCCACAAATCAGTGTTTTAAGATCCATAGGATAAAGATCATGCAGGTTTCAAACGAGCGTGTGCACGATTTTTGTTGAATGACAATCTTCAGCAAACTTCGAACGGTACAATAGTGTAAGTAGGTAAGTAAGCTATAAGACAAGCACGAATGGAAATTAGTATTGTAGAAAGTATCATAAGAATTTTGAGTCGTTTATCTTTAAAAAACGTGTCAAATAAATTATAACAAAACAACACATGCAGTCTATTTGAGAAAACTAAATTTTCTCCCACGTTCTATTACATCTAAGAAAATCTTTAAATAACGTATAAAGTCCTTCAACCTTGATGGGGTAGACAAAGCCGGTCGATGCTATTTATGTTTCCAGTTACTAGATATTCGTGTTTACGCGAATTCAATGTGTTTGGAAACTCCCTATAGCGATGTATCGGGCATCCATGATAGCGGGACATACCAAGACTAAAACATGGGTACTATTAAAACAAAGCTGACGCGATAAAATCCGTGTAATAGTTTTATTTTGCCACGTATTATTGATGAGACATTAGCGGCAGAACCCGCGGGTACGAGCCATCGTGAGATTTATGGATCCCATCGAATCTCTCCGCATCGATAACGGGGTATATTCAGTAGGTGTGTCCGGAGGGCGGGCCCGTACTAGCGACCGCTGTAAGCGAGAGATAAACAATGATCATTTGCGTTCACATCCGATCCCAGGTCGGGGCTTTTTCAATGCGCCTCGATCGGAGTCCATTCGCGCGCTCGTAAATAACTACGGCGCCGTGTATTAGTTTTGGATCCGCCGTGCGAACTACAATATTGGAGAGGAGACGGCTCGGTGATCATGGCGGCTCATATTCTACAGTTAGACGTACGCAGCTATTATAAATCATTTTAACATTAATGTTTGCAATAAGTAGTTTGGTTTTACTTTGTCGTATTATGTATTAATGACTTCTTGGGTATACGTGAATGTCTTTAAATATTAAAATCTTTAAATATTAGCTGCCGTATGTTTGTGTCAACAAAACTTTTTAAGTTTTGTAAGACCGTTTAAAAACTTTTAAGTTAAACGGTTTTATTTTGTTTTTTTTTTTTGTAATTTTTTTTTTGTTAATATTGTATTGTCATCTAAATTAAATGTGTGTACCAAATTTCAGATCAATCTGACAACGGCAAGGTGCTTAAATTTCAATTTCTAATTTTGACCCAAATAAATAAACAAATAAATTCCGTACGGGTCGAGCTAAATAAAACCGTTTAACTAGCCGATGGATTGATTGACTCGATATATGTTCAAACATAGCTATGTTTTCATACAGTTTTTATTTGGGTTTCAACGGAATAGAAATAATAAACCGAAAGTGAAGGTGTATTCAGTTACAGTTACATGTAACTAATTGAAACCTTGCGAAACATTTTTGAAAGGTATAGAGTCCCGTGTAATGTTCGTGCGGTCTGTAAGGTAATTTATAAACGGTAGGGTTTGAACGACACGTCTCAAGTCAGCTTTTTGCTCTCGGTCATTAATTAATTGTTAATGTCGAGGATGGTTTGCGAGGCTAGTGTAATAACCGCGAGCCATATAACGGGCTGGAGAAATATAATGGGATGCTACCAACGGGTGGTGATCCAATAATTATTAAAATTTAATCCAACCAAAGAGTCATAACACCTTCTGCATTTGTAGGAAAGAAAATAAATAATTGAGAAAACTGAAAGCAGAACGTTTGAACTATAACGTCCACACATCAGTCGGTCTTGATGGGGCAAAAGTGCGCTTTTCGAATTTTATATGTAGAACTTTTGTGTGACCTATGAATGTTAATCAAAGTCTGTTCAAGTGCAACTCATTTATCTAAAACATTATAATGACGAGACGATATACTGCAGTGGATGTCATGATTTTGAAACAAAAAGTAAATGTATTAAAGGCAATTATTTCACGTATAAAACTGTTGAAGACTCGACTCATCTTAACATTTCGATTTTGTTCCGTAAACCTCAACGAAGTAGGCGAATAACCGACTATACAAAGAAATAATGTTCTATAAAAGAAAATATCAAAATATTTCCACACGTTTTAAACGACAAAACTCACGACCACCAAAACAAATTGATGTGAATTCATTTGGATCTTAACCTGCTCTATGCGCACGTGGTAGGGCAACACAGGAGCTTCGGCTGTTGCACAAATGGGCAGGCTCGTTCGAGGAAATGCCACAGCATCACGGAAGACCGGCGTTTTTACCATACTTTCGCGTTTCGTCCGATGAGTGAGGTAACACGAGGGGCCTACTCTTTGAATGTTGCAACTGTAACCAGTCAGGTGTTGTAAATGTCGATGGGCGTCTGAAATCGCTTAATATCAGGGGAACCGCCTGCTCGTTTGGTAAATATTAACATTAAAAAAAAACAGTTAAGTATATGTTTTTTTGTTGTTACCTTGACGCGTTCGAAATTTCCTCACGGTACCGAAAGGTACCATCTTATTTTGAACAATAACCGTTAGTAGTCTACTTCGCTATTTTTCATTAAAACAAACTGTCAATAGATGACATTGTCATTAATTAGCCATAAAGTTTTTTACTTGTCTACTGTTCGTCAACAGCGGCAAACATAGGCTTTATGAACGTGTTTGAATCATTCAATTTAATTAATAATTGTGAAAGTTATGGCTCACAAAAAAATACATTTGGGAAATAATATATAGGGCTAAGCGAACAAACACACCACAGTGGCAACAAATACGGACTTTCCAATTCCGGCGGGCCGCGGAACGGGCCGCAAATCCCGCTGCATAAATCGAGTAGCGAGAAAGAAGCGCACAAATGGCCACGACTCAGCCATCGCAATTTCTAAAACAAACCCGCATCGGAGATTATTCCGCTACCGTTAGTGGGAACAGCTCGGGCGCGCCGTCGCCCCTACCATTTGCTATACAAGTTTCCACCAGACAATCGACGTTGAGCTGTTTCGAACTCCGCATAATGTTACGACAGAACCGTGGCCAGTTCTGTAATAAATCCAAATGTCTTAGTCAGTATTTGCACACACATACATGCACGACACTGTTATGTATTTCTTTAATCTCATTTCATTGTCGTCTTTATTGACCATATGCGTTTTTGAATGTGCTGACCGACCTCCTGTCAGTTTATAACATGGGTTACGGTATCGCACCAGACGTTTCTTAAATCTAACCGTAACAATGAAAAAGCAAAGACCAGTCCGAAAAATTACCCATTGTATTAAATCCATAAACTGATTTAAAACTATGAGTATTAATACAAAAAAGTAAGCCATCTTTATTAAAAGGTCTCGCATCTGCAACTGATATTAACCAATGGAGCTGTTAACACTTATCAGGTAAACCGCCAACTTCTCACGAAAATAAAGTATCATGTGGTAGGAGCTCCGAAAGCCCGCCCGAATAATAGACATGTTCGATCTGAGAGCAGGAGACGGTTACAGCAAAAAATGGGCCGAGAGCGTGCCCCCAGCGCGCATTATGCAGGCGTGCGGCACGACGCCGCCGGTGCGCCGACGCCGCATGCAAAGTGATCCAGCACACGCTCCACTAGGGCTCCGGAATGGAGGCCCCGTCGGTGACCATTCGTGCACGCCAACGGAGGTCTGATGACGTGTCATAAACGAAGTGGCCCAACCAAACTTAGAGGTTGCCGTGGCACTTTCACGCCAAAAGGATTTCGATTTTTTTCGGTCAATGATATGGCCTTTTGTTTGCTTTTCGCAAAGATTTTGTAATTACAAATTCTTTGCGAAGTACAACAGTTAAACAGAGAAAGATATTATTACTATTATTAGAATTATAAATACAGGAGGTAGATAGTTCAGCATCCACCCCAGCCCTGTCTTAGATTAGTAAAGAATTGTTTCGCTAACTTAGCATGGCATGCGATTCTTAGAGTTGTTTGTGAGAGAGATGATCGTAAAGTGCATATTAACTGATGTTTTTGCTTTCAGTCCCGAGACTATTAAAGATTCATCTGGCGCAGAACCGGTGGGCTAGCCAGAACCCACGGGTTTGGGCCCTCCGCTATGAGTAGGGCCGCGCATGTGCTCATGCGTGCGTTTAAGTATGGTATGTCATCTAAAGGCCATCGAGGTTGCGGTTCGGACCGGGACCCCGCTGGCCGTCGACTGTTTTTAGCTAATCGGTGGCTGGGGGCGATGAGAACCGCCCTGGAACGCGGGTGTACCTTGCGTTGTGTTGTTCTTGCCGTGGTCGGAGGCGAGGGCGAACTATAGTTTGTTGTTACACTAGCTGTGGGTGTAGTGTTATCCTGCGGAGCTCCCGACGTTGGGTCCAACGTAAGTCCTATTCCTCGACCGGGTCGATGAGGACATTTCAAGACGAGGATGACGCTTGCTAACGTTCGCGTTTGTGTCGGGTTGGTAATTTGCTGCGCTTACCACCAGAGGGTTGGGATGATGTTCGGCTCTATAGAAGAACCGTTTGCTCAGGTCTTTAAATTATTCGCGAACATTTTAAATTACTGCCTCCGAATTGGCAACACGTATTGTAATTTTTATTTTTTTAAAAACCCTTTTGACCAAAGCGAAAGTTTGATTAGATATTATAACGTGCTATTTTTTACTATTCTAATGCATTTGTGTTTGTATACTTCAATTGTGTTGCGTCGAATAAACATGTTCATCTCCTTCTGTAGTTCTTTTAAATTCGTTGCAGCTCCAATGTCTTGCGGCTCTCGTCTTCAAAAATAGCTATTCCACCTATTTTTATCCTAAATCCTCGAAGTACAAACTGACCGCACGTAATTAATTATAGTTTACTCATTCATATTGATCACCTAAAAACTCTATAACTGTTTGTCGCCAAAAGACATCAATAGGTCTTTCTATTGTAATATTACTGCTGGTACTTTTGGTTTTAATTTTAAAAAATCACCAACAAAATGACCACGTTTATTTTAAGGGATTTGGATGCACGAAAAAGAGAAATAAAATTAAACATACCGTGTGATCATCACGGCGCAACTGCGATCTGAAACAAAACGGAGAAATAAGTTGGATTGGCGCTGTGTTTAAACCCAATAGGTAAGTAGAAACACATGGAATCAACCAATGATTATAAATGCAGTTAAAACAGTTGCAGTTTGCGTTTCCGTCACTCGACAGACGAAATGAAAAAATATAATATATCTGACGACCCTAATGGCGTAGTGGGTAGCGAACCTGCCTCCTGCCCCAGAGAGTGTGGGTTCGATCCCCGCAACTAGAAAAATATTATGTGATGAACATAGTGTTTCTCCAGTGTCTGGGTGTTTATATATGTATAAAATGTATTTATTCACGAAAGAAAATTGTGTTTAAGTGTGTTTATCAGTTATCCAGTACCCATAGGACAAGCGTTGCTTAGTTTGGGACTAGAGAACATTGTGTAAAAATGTGTCCTAAAATATTTATTGTTTCTACTTAACGCCAGTCTTATGTGAGACCGTAGTACTTCATCAACCGAGCCTGCTCATTCGTGACACTTAAATATCTCTGGTATTTAAGTGTCCCCGGTCGACGCTTCTTACATACCATCAAATGATGTGCTTATTCGGTTGTCATCCCTTCGAGATCAAAAAATAAACAGAACAAACCAACAGATGAAGGTCCTTAAACTATAATCACTCACTATTTCGTTTATGCAAAATCGCTCACTACAAGTAGTGGATCGCGATTTTGCTCTTCAATTCACCGACCCGAGCCATAATAGGAGTGTCAGCGACAATAAAGCGTCAACGGCATAGGAAGTTATTACCCAAGTAATCTCCATGCAAATATCTTAGCGGCGTGTCGTTACGGGTCCATTAAATCGCTTAAAGGCTCCCCCTACACGGCAACTTCAAGTACATTACAAATAGTTTAACTGCTATTGGCCAGTCGTTTATACTTTTATTCGCCGGAGCTTTTAGTGTTTACAGCTTTTAATAGGCCATTAAAGGAAGGCTAGAACACTGGGCCTCGATTCCTTGCGAAACAACGTAGTAATAAATATGAAAAAAGTTATATTTATTACTAAATTCCGAGTTGAATAGAAAACTTCAACATAATACTTTATAAAATAATGCAATGTATATTTGGATGTACATTTCAAGCTTTTATTTATTTTCATCGTTTTCGGTGTCTATAATGGAATCTTGCAAGTTAAATTTGCTCATCCCACTGTCCGATGAGCTGAAATTTGGCCAGCTAGTTTAGTTTTGGTAACAATGCACGATTACCCAAATGCCGCCATTTTTAATCCAATATGTCGGTCGCCGCAAAATGGAGATTTATTATGACAAGTTCGACCGTGAGAAAATTTTTTGTATGATACAAAGTTGCAAACAATTATCTACATACATATATGTTTAATATTTGATATTTTTCGCTAACGCATTAATTTGTATAACAGTTATAAATAGTAATGAAAAATATTATAACTAATTTATTAATTATATATTATAAAACTCATTAATTTCAATAATTAACATATTTAATGATAAATTGCAATTTACCTGCATGTGCAAAAATGAAACTTGCAGATATATTCATTTTTCCTCGCTATAAATTAATTTAAAGTCGATTGCTCCTTCGACATTATAGTCTACTAGCTGCTGCCGGCGACTACGTCGGGGTAGAGGGGTGAAAATTTAGGGTTGTATGTATTTTTGTATGCTGTATTATAAAAAAATAAAAACAAAAAAATTTATGTAAAAAATAAAAAAAATTTAGGGGTGAACCACCCTTAACAATTAGGGGGAAGAAAAACAGATGTTATCCGATTCTCCACCCTGGCCGATATGCACACAAAATTTCACTAAAATCGGTGGAGCCGTTACGGAGGAGTTCAACTACAAACACCGTGTCACGAGAATTTTATATATTAGATTAAGCAAGTGATCAGATGCAATAAAGGCCAACAGATATGCGCAGTCGTGTCTTTGGTCGAAGCTGACGTTTGTTGGCATCGTAAAATAATTAATACGAAGGCTCACGCTGAAGATTGCATAAACAGTAAAGGGCATGCGATACTATAATACGGCTTACAAAATAATAAATTCAAGTACAGAATAATAAGCTCGAGTTATTAAATACTCGTAGAATAAATCAATATTGATTGAATAATAAAGCAAGAATTCATTAAATCCCTAAAACATTTGCTCGGCTGTAGTGTCATTTAAACATTTGTATAAAATGAAAGGAAACAATATATTTAACTCAATGCTGGCATATTGACCGGTAGCGGTGCATAGAACTTTCTTTTTTGGTCGCCAGTTTCTCTGTGGTGTGCACAGATGAGTTTTAATTTTTTTTTAATTAGTTACGTGCAAAGCTTACACGTAACTTATTAAAAAAAACTTGCAAAAAAACGTACATACCACATTCGTGCATGGTTGATGGCGTTAAATCTCACAATGCAAACTAGCACTGGAGACGACGCATGTGGTCACTAGACATTTGCAGTATGTAGTGGATCGCGATTTTGCTCTTCAATTCACCGACCCGAGCCGTAATAGGATTGTCAGCGACAATAAAGCGTCAACGGCATAGGAAGTTATTACCCGAGTAAGCTGTCGTTTAAAAAAAAGAAAAACGATCATACAATTTGAATGCATTTCACTAAACACATTTTCCAATCAAAAACTAGCTTGGTCGCTCCAAATATTAAGGAGTAAGCAAATATTTTTTTGCACACAAATAATCTCTATGTAATACAATGAAAGAATTACGTTTCACAAAAGTCGCACTACCTGAGGATGGAACCATGCACCGCCGGTACACTGACCCCAGGTTGAATATAATTACAGCGACAATGGGGACCCACCAATAAACATTGAGGTAATGAATCCGAGCCTCGTAAAGCAATTTAAAATCGATGGACATCACTCAAACGGCGCCAATTTAGACATAGACAATATTAAATTTACAATGACCGGAGTTCTAACTAATATATTGCTTACATTAATGGATAATATTTTGCCTGTCGCGTGTTTTTTGAACGCACAAAAAGCCCCATTCCAAGAATTTATAGCGAAAGCAATGAAACCATAAATAATGGCTGTGTAATAGAGCAATAAATCGGGCATCATAATACCAGATTGCGTTAAGCACAGGTTTCTTAGTGACGCCACGTAAATGGCCACTGATAGAGTTCATAATAACCAAGCAAATGGCTTGCTTTTAATTTTTACAACAGTTCGAATATCATTGGTTTAGTTAAATCAAGGTTTTTTGTTATTATTATTATATTGTATAAATAGTATTTAATAATAATATATTAATCATATATTCGTAGATTAATTACTGAACGTATCATGGTAATATAACTATGAAACTATTTTCTTGTTAGTTTTTACTGCGTATACCGGTTTCCGTTGATTTTGCCTCAACTGTCTGATATAAGTGTAACTTAGTTCCATATCGTCTTGTTCATAGATCTTGTATCAATTATGATTGTTTTTTGTGTGCAATTGAATTGACTAACAAATAAAACGAGTGAGATATAGACCTTGTGAGATAACTCGAACACTTCTGTGTGTCCTTAGGGAATGATGATTTATTTTCAACCAGAGCACTGAGAAAGACAGCGTTTTAATGACAACTGCATTTCATGATAGA